TTATTTCAACCGCAACAGATACATCTTTTGTACATACAGTTTTACTATGTAACATTCTGGTTTTTCACTACATTCATTTAACATTTTCCCCCCTTGAACAAGCAAGAGGGTTACTTATCATTTCATTAAGAGAGGAGAATTCACAGGCGGAAGAAACCCCCCACCCAAGAAAAAAACACAGAGAACACACCTCAAATATCCTTGATCTAGGAGGAGAATGAAGTAGCCCCAGAAAGGCAACCAGCAAGACTAGGGGTGTTAGCTCCCAATAAACGACCTAGCAACCATCTCCTCGAGTGCTTTTGCTCCATCAGAACACCAAAGAGTAAACACACTTGCTATTGCCTGCAGCACCATTGAAATATTCGTGAACACGCAATCATTTCGATGTTTCCAAATCTCCTAGGTAACTAGAATAATGAGAGGGTTGAGCCCCTACTTGATCACCCTGGGAACTTCTTTGATTGTCTGACCACCAGCTTCAGAATCTGGTTGCACACAGTTGAGCCTAGTCTCTGAAGGATTATGCACCAGACGTGACGGGCAAAGACACAAGTGATCAACATAAGTTGGATTGATTCATCCACCTGGTCACAAAGGGACAAGCAGCCAGATGAGGGAGTCCTCCCTTTGGCTAGGTGGTAGGCCGTCCAACAACGATTGTTTATTTAAAGCCAAATGAACCACTGTCTGTGTCTCTGGACCTCGCCAATGTCTGGCCAAGGTGAAACTCAGATCGGGTGGCATGACGGGCAACAGGGTGTTGTGCTACCAGTTCTAAAGAGACTACCTTCCATGGACTTCCTGCTTGCCAAAGCCAAGGTAGCCATGACATCATGATATGATGGCTTCATCTTGGGGCCTGGTGCACTGCGACTAGGAGTAGGACTGGCGTCGCACCAGCGCTCTGACTTGGAATGCCCGATTAGCTGGGGCTTGCTGGAAAAGGAGGTGAGGGAGGTAGACGGTGCTTGAGGGTTGGGTTGCCAGTTTAGCAGAGGACATGGCGGAGGAGGTGGCCAGGCCTAGGATTGGTGCCCGTGGGATGCTCTGGGGAGATGAGACGCCATGGAAGAGGACATCCCTACAGTTCAGTGTTCTATCTACACCATACATTGAACTTTTGACTTCATGTTCTTCTAGAGGTGCCTAATAGTACATACTATATTGCGTTTTTGTTTTGTTTTGTTTTTCTTAAATTTCTAAAACTGGGAACAGGGCCATGCCCATTTTCTTGACACTTTAGCTGTTTATTTAGGTAACATTTTGGTGCTGTGGAGCTTCAATTGTTTGATGGATTTTAGGAAAAACCATTTCTAGAAATGTTATGCCTGTGATGTGAATTCTTGGGAAGAGTAGGAAGGCTAGTTCTGGCATTTTTGTTTCTATTCCTTTGATTGGTTTAAGCTACCTATCCTAAATTGATCTCTTGTCATGCTGCAACTCGCTTATCAGGAAGCAAGTCAAAAGCTGTTAAGGAGCTTGATGTTGCTACTTCCAAAGAAGATGGGACAGTAGCATCCACTCTTAATCGTACCAAGCATTGGCTTCTTTCTCACTCTCAACATCTCAACTTCTTCTCTATCTTGATACTTGCTTCGGTTAGTCCCCTGTCAGCCATCCTTTGTTACCAATTTCTTCAGTGTGGACATCTTACAACCGTATTTGTTTTATTAATCATTTTATGGAACATTTCCTGTACAGCAGTTACCATAAGTTTCCTCTAAGAGGATTTTCATTGAATAAAAAAAAAATGCCTAATTTTGATGGCCCTTGTTAGGTTCCGAACCCACTCTTTGACCTTGCTGGTATTATGTGTGGCCAATTCGGTGTACCATTCTGGGAGTTCTTGTTTGCAATTTGATTGGGAAGACCATCATCAAGACTCATATTCAGGTGAGGCATCTAACTTTATACATTTATCTTATTTAATAATCGGTAATTGTGTTTATTGTGATTCGTGTGTGCCTTTGTTCTACTTGTTGCCACACTCTTCATTGTTTGGCTGTGCATGCGTGTTCAATCTTTTGGAGAGATTTCCATTGATAGCTAGTGGTCTTTTTTAATGTTTGGTAAGACAGTTCTTTTATTAACTTAATTAGATGAAAATATTCTTCGATGTGGTATTGTTTTATGCTTGTATGTGTTTATTATTGTCCATTTGGATTCAAATTTTTTAGGACTGCATGCCAATCTTTGATTTTTTAGGACATGGACATGTTAGAAAGCTTGGGTATGATTTCAGCACAAAATATCTCAGTGTTTGCATAAATTGATTTGATATATTAGTAGGATGAGTGCCTAGTAAGTCTTGTCCTATTCCTCCCCCCAATTTGTTCTTGAATTCCTTTTTTTTTTACAAGAATTCAACAAAAACTGAACCAGAAAATGAAATAAACCTAATGTGGTTCAGTAATGAAATATAATGTGATGAACTGGATTCGGTTTGATTCTCTAGGTTTATTTGGTATCCATAATTATACCTGAAAAAAATCTGTGAAATTAAATTAATTGTGAAACCTCTCTTGCTAAGGTTTATTATGGTGACTGACTTCCTGAATTTTTGAGTCATTTTAGTTTCTCCATACCTGGTTTAGTGAGTTGTCAGGTGGTTTGACACCAATAGTTGCAGCGCCCCTGCTCCTGATATGCATTTTTCTTCTTTTGCAGACACTTTTTATTGTGTCCTTATGCAACAATCAGCTCCTGTATCTTATGGAAAAGGAGTTAATCTGGATATTTGGCCACATTCCTGGGTTTTCCACGGGGCCACCTCTCAGCGACTTTGAATATGAAGGGGCAGCACCGTTGAGAGAGGAGGAAGGATGCGAAAAACGAGGCGGGAACCGGCAGCTGCCAAAAGAATGTCCAAAACGGAGGCAACGCTTACAGCGGAGGCCCGATGAGCATTGGGCTCTAGAATGGGCCGAGGAAAGATATCTGGAGCAGAAAGGGGGGCTGTGAAGGCGGCTGTAATTGGCCAGAGGGGCATTAAACATTTCAAATTAACTGGCGCTGGGCCAAGAATGCCTTCCGTTGATAACTGCCCTCGAATTGAAGTGCCCTTTAAGGCTGGGCCAAAACTGAGGCGCGAGAAGACCGGGTGGCGAGCTGGATTTCCGGACGTTTGAAAATTCAAATTTGAATTAGCAACGGAGCGCCGTTGCTGAGAACAATCACCGGCAACCGGAGTGGCATTGGCTCCGGTGAGGATAGCAGGGCTCAGCTTTCCAATTACGAAATTCCAAACGATAGTATAGATATGAAAACCCACAGGTTGGGAGCACACAGAGAAACGGAAGACACGATCAGCTAGCTGAAGAACATGAAAAGCATTTGGAGTACCTCCGATCACAGCTTGAAGGATGTGAGCCACAGCTTGAGGAGTCAGCAAGATAATGTTTAAAAGGCATGAATGGATCCATCCATGGATGGTTAAAAGGCAGGCACACATAGATAGTTGAGCAATTCAAAATACCTTATAATTCAGGATAATTTTTGAACCATAGTCACATAAAACGGGTCTTAAGGCATCGACTGTTGACCTGACTCAGGGGTATGCGGGGTCATTTTTTATGCCGCAATGTAAAAATCTCTTGCAAAGGGTACCACACTACCACGTTCCTCTACCCAGTCGACCTGGAAACTATGTGACTATGTTTTGAACCTTTGAAACCTTGTATTTCTTTCAGGACGGAGGGAGTACCTTGACTGGAACAAAGAAAACCATGACGATGACTACATGATAAAAAGTCTGCAACATCGTAACACTAAGTGTGGAGGTCCAAGATGGCCCTGCCTACATTTTGCAGTCTCATGTGCAAGTTGTTCATATATGAATCTACGCTGTTTGATTACTAGCCTTGATTTTGAAGCCTCATATTGTCTGGTTAAAACTTACCTGCATAATAGATAAAACCAAACCTTCTTTTAGCATTCACAAAATAGAAAACATATACCAGCTTCTAAATTCCAGTTCACATGAATCATACAAATTGTATGTAAAGAATTTTGGACTGTGCCTTCGCATTATGTGTTATTCATCTCAAGAATATTTGGTGCTATGTTGTCTAAATAAAGCAATGCCCAGTGGTGCCTTAAAACAAAAGCATATGAAAAACAGGAACAAAATTAAGAAAACACATTAATGTGAGAATGTTAATGTATTTTCCATCTATGGATGGTTGTGGCACATAGTAACACGTACGGCACAACACAGACGACGTATTTAATCATTGTCTGAAACAAGGCAAAGATATATGAATCTGTGTTTACAGATAGGAGCGGCTGCTTTTATATATTGGGCAGACAACTGCCAACCAAAATAATTGATATATTGGTCTCATCAAGGGGACACACAAGCTATGATTCTGGGTGCAGCTACAGTGCAATGATGATCAAAAGGAGCTTTCATTCCAAGCATGCCTTGTTCGCTTGGCTTATAAGCCGTACTTTTTCAGTCAGCGAATAGTATTTTTCTCTCACAACAAATCAGTCAACAGTACTTTCAGTCATGGCTTATCAGCCAAGCGAACGGCAATGCAGTGTTTCATGTCCTATAGATGGCCTTTTAAGTTTTGAAATAGTGTTTGATCAAACTTCTTAGTGTGGCCTGTGTGTTTCCTGTTCCGGGCCATCTCCTGTTGATTAGTTTTAAAAGTCATAGCTGACTTTATTATGGCCTTGTCTAATTGTCTCATCCCCAAACAAAACACATCCTACTTTTTCTGTAGCTCGCTATTTTCTAGCAGTAAGATACACCCTAGTTAGTAATAACATGGCTTCCATATATACATCCTACTTTTTCTGTAGCTAGCTATTTTCTAGCAGTATGCTTCCATATAGTGAGTTGTCATCTCTTGACCTCTTCGTATAGGGTTCACTGGCTTAGTTCATTCTCGATGATGTACATTATTGGGGGCTCGTATCCTCTAAAGTGTAAGGTTAAACAGACACTACAATGAAATAATTAGCTCTGTTGGAGATGACCAAAGAACTGGTCAGTGGAAATAATTAGAACCAAATAAATAGGGCCGATAGTATAGTAATACAGAACATACCACTTTGACGTGACTAATCTTCATCTTGTTTTCAGGTAATTCGCACCAATGCTCTAATGCGGGGCAACCACAAATGGTTAGTCTTTCAAGATTGACGAGTTGTTGCATGCTTTTCGGCAAGGACACTATGCCCTCACAGAAACAAATCTCCAGATTGTTCAGAGACACAAGATCACCTAACGATTCTGGCAGTGCTCGAATGTCCGGGCAACCATACAAAGACATTGACTGAAGAGAGCTCAGGGGTCGCATGCTCACTAGCAATTTATTCAGGCTTCGGCACCCCTTGATCTTCAATGTTTGGAGAGAGGTGAGGTCTACAAGCCATTCCGGTAGTGATGTCATGCTCATGCTACCACAAGAGTTCAGGGTAAGTTCTCGGAGGGAACCAAGGACTTGAATGATCTCTGACGAGCAACTTAGATCACCACAATACTCGAGAACTAACTCACTGAGCCCATGAAGGTGGTGAAGCAACTTCCAGTGATGCATAGGAGCCCTGCAGGATGTGACCCTCAAGCATTGTACCAAAGCAAGGGAGGAGTTGCGAGAAGTCTCTTCCCATTGCAGCAGGACACCATTGCTATCTATTATGTGCCAGGTTCCATTTACTCTTGGCGGACATGGGTTCAACTTCAACTTGCGGCATCGACATATCCTTAGGAACTTGAGGTTGGGGAACATGAACTGATCATCCGCAACATCCTCACCATCACCATAGGAATTCACCGTACTCCACTCTTCTAGGCTTTCCATATTGTATATGAAAATTTCCTCCAATCGAGCGAATGCGTTTACGCCACCACAAAAGCCTCTGTCAATCTTCAAAATGCTGTGCATTGCTGTGAGATTAACATGTTTTAAATTCGGTAACTGGCCAAGTGGTGGTAGGCTACTGCAGTGGGACAAGCCATCCAACTTGACTCTGACAAGATTAGGGAGATAAATAGCAATGTCCATTAACCATGTAGGAAAGCTGACACTGTTGTAACCTCTTAGCTCAAACTCTTCTAAACTGCTTGGTGGCTCGAACTCTCTCAATAATTCCATGTCCTCCACAAATCTTTCCTTTTCACCTGTCCAATAAAGTCTCAGTATTACCATACTTAGTTTGTCCTTCAATTTTATTTTCTGTGCCTCTTCTACGGACCTTACATTTTCAAGGGCACTTATCTCCAACTCAGGAGGAGTGACATCTTTAAGGAGAAGAAGATTGCTGCTTTGTTGACCTTCAGCAACATGTACCATATAGTTTGGCAACCAGATCCAAGCAGGGTTCAAAATTTCAGCGAAATTTCGGCCGAATTTTATGAAATTCGGTAATTTCGGTGGTGGTCAAAAGAAAACTCCGAAATTTTTTAATACACTAATATATGTGCTATATAACTCTAATCTTATATTTTTCTATTGTTTATATTGCATATTCTTCTATTTAATAGATATGTAGTCATAAATCATACTAATATTTGTTTAGATCCAAATTTTTTGAAAAAACATACTTCAGGTGCTAATCTCTAAAAAAAATTGGCGAAATTTCGCCGAATTTTCGTGAAATTGTAAATTTCTGTGGTGGCGAAATTTTGGCGATACCGAAATAAAAACCTTGGATCCAAGTGTTGATTCAAGACGGTGGATATGTCCAGCCGCAGACAGTCCTGGGTAATGATGATACATTTCAGGCTCTCCATGTCACCTATGTTTTCGGGTACGCTTTCCAGATTACGGCAGCAACTGAGGTCCAGGGTATGTAGCTTTCGGAGGCCACAAATTTTGTCAGGTATAGTATAAAGAGTAAGATTATGAGACAAATCTAGATGTTCTAGATTTGAAAGGGCGCTGATAATGTCAAGGAAACCACCAGTGTTATCTGAGACTTCTCCACCTTCTGCTTCCTTTGTTTGAGGGTTACAAGTACAGTCTACACACCCTGATAAATTCAAATACCGGAGTTCAGTGAGTTCTCTGGTTACTTCCGACAGCCCTTGGAGAGTTGGCTGGTAATGTGCATAACTTCTCCTTGATAAATTCAAATATTGGAGTTTGGTAAGACCACGCAAGGCATCTGGTATACGATTTACCTGATAGCAATCAGATAAATCCAAATGAACCAAATTTCTAAGCTGTCCAAATGACCTAGGTAATTCTTCCAACTGTTTACAACCTGATAGGTTTAAATAGTTGAGTTCAGTGAAGCTCCCCAAAGCTTCAGGAGCCTTTCCAGAAATGAGCACTCTGCTGATGATAGTGATAGGTTCAAATATAACAAAATATGAGCTGCATGATAAGTTCAAGTATTGCAATCTTGTCAAGCTACTTAAAGCTACTGGCGCCACTCCAATGTTTTTGCAGTATGATAAGTTCAAATACTGCAGATTAGTGAGGTTCTCCAAATATTTTGATACACCTTTAACATGAGAGCATTTCGAAAATCAAGATGCACCAAGTTTCTAAGCTTCCCAAATGATTCTGGCAGTTCTCTAATTTCTGAACAAGCTGACAAATCCAGATACATTAGATCATTCAATTCTCCTATTGACTCTGGCAGTGCTGCAACCGTAGAAGATAAACCGTAGAAGATCCACAGAGGTTGAGGTAAATTAGTTTTGAGAGCTTGGTGATACTACTGGGAATCACTGCATCTTTGATGCCTGGAGCATTGAGATACCTCAATAGCTTTAGTTGACCAATAGAAGGCGGCAAGTTCTGTATGGAACATTCTCCAAAATCCAAGACTCGCAGGTACTTAGCAGTTGAAATTTCAGCTGCATCACGCTCAATTTGACACTTTCCAGAAAACGAATGGCTCTAATGTTGTCATGACAAGTTCAAAAAAAATTCAATGGCTTCCTGCAATCTGCAAGTAGCGCATAACGGTAGTTGCCCCACTCAATATTGCACTCTCTGCCACCATCAAGAACTTCATCCCTCATGATCGATCTTGCAAGGTCATGCATCGTCAATAATGTAGCATTTTCGCCGAGTTGCCCATAAGACTGCAACAAAAGCAGCTTTGTCTTGTTAGTTGTTAGTTTACTCACCATAGCCAATTATGTTAAAAGGGCTCATTTTACAAGTAAAATGAAAAGATAACTTTTCGATAGTAGAGGTATGCCGCAAATAGTAACTCACCGAAGGGGATCTTGAATGTTGCAAGAATGACATCCCTGATAGTTTCATAATGCAGCTCTCGCCATGCAGCCAGGTGGACACTTCACTAGACGGTTTAATAAAACCAAGAGCAGCCCATTGATAAATGAGGTCATCTTTAGTCATCTTGTGGCCCCTAGGAAAGATTGCACAATAAGCAAAGCAAAGCCTTTGGAATGGCGGCATACTTATGTAGCTTAATTTCAAGGATGCAAGAACATTGTCATATGGCGAAGGTGTATATCCTGTCGCAGAAGCATTCCATATTCCATTGTCTTTTACAGAAACCCATCCAAAAAATTCCTGGATCTCAGCATGTACCCAAGAGCTCGAGCTGTTAGTGCCACACCTCCACACTTCATTGCAATCTCCTTTCCTATATCTTCTAACCTTCCTCTGTCTGCTCTTCCTTCAAATCCAACAATCTGTTTAATTATCGTCCAGCATACATCAGATGACAGAGGTTCTATGGGGTATGCTTCGGTCGTTTGAATTTTCCGAGCAATATCGATCAGCATCTCGTGTGGTTACAATGACATGCACTTTGTATCCATTCAAAACCCTTTTCAGGGTATGCTTTAGATCATCAACCTTAAAGTCATCGTTCTCCCACAAGTCATCCAAAACGATCAGAATCTTCTTAGGAAGTGGTGGATCAGCATCTGGCTCTTGCATGTCGGTTAGCTGCCTCTGATCCTTCTGAAGTTGTGATCTTATAGTGTCATCAATTTTTTTCAAATCAAATATTTGGGAAACATATACCCATGCTTTCTCATAGTCCTTGAAATACTTATCATTGAAAAGCAGTTGTGCTAACGTTGTCTTCCCAATACCTCCAATGCCGTATATAGGAAGGATAATGAACTCTGATGAGGTGCTGGCTCTAGTTAAAAGTGCTATTACTCTCCGTTTCTCTTGATCCCTTCCCAGGATATCTGCTTCTACCACCTCTGACTTTGTTTCACGTTCATCAATAACTTGCTGTGCATACGAGCTGTTGCCTGCCGTAAAACTGAATTCGTGCCGTTGCTTTGAGATATTCTCCAGTTTCTCCCTAACCTTCTTCATCTTAGCAGCCATACCAATCTCAGAAGCAAGTGTGAGAAAGGGATTTAGAACTTTGAACTGAAAGAAAAAAAATGTTCTGTTAGTATATTTGAAACTGAAGTAATACGATACGAACAAACATCCATCCATCCATCAGCACGGCAGCACCTACCTATAGTCCTCGCATGATCGTACGTACCTGAATGCGAGATGCAGGGCAAATCTCAGGAAAATTTGAGGCCCAGGTGCAAAATGAAAAATAGGACCCTAGAATTAGATCAATATTTCACTGCTACAAAATCGTTAGTAGCAACAGGAGGTTTTTTTATATAGGCGGCTCATTTTCTAGCCATGCCTAAGCCACCTCTGCAAATACCACTAGTTTTAGAGGTGACTATTTCCATACTACGCAGTAAATTTTAATTTTTTAAATGATCTTAGATGGAGAAACGATCCAAACAAAAGTTGTAGATCTTGAAAAGTTATGCAACTTTGTAGTTTACAACCTTTTCATTTGAAATCATCCATGTATGAAAAATTACGTTTGAGTTTCTCACATTTAAAATTTAAACTTTTCAATGACCTCAAATGGATAAATAAACGACCAAACAATAGTTGTACATTTCGAAAAGTTATGCAATTTTATAGTTGACAATTTTTTTATTTGAAATCATCTATGCATGGAAAATCTACGTTTGAGTTTCTTGCATTTGAAATTGAATTTTCAAATAATCTTAGAAGGAGAAAGCGACTAAAACAAAAGTTGTAGATCTCGAAAAGTTATGCAACTTCATAGTTGACAACTTTTTACTTGAAATCATCTATACATGAAAAATCTAGGTTTGAATTTCTCACAGTTGAAATTCAAATATTTCAAACGAACTCAGACGGAGAAAAGACCAAAACCAAAGTTATAGATCCCAAAGATAAAACTATGTAGTTGATAATTTTTTTTCATTTGAATTCGTTTAGAGTATCAAATACTTATTTAAAATTTGAATAAAAATAAAATAAGGAGGACGAATATCCTAAATGGACACAAGTGTATTATAAAGTAAAGATACTCATTTGAATTCGTTTTGGCTTTTTAGAAGCAAAAGAAGCTCCCAAAAACCCAACCGAAGGCATGTTATAGAGAGTCTCTCGGAGTTGCTCTTAGATTGATTCGGTTTCCAATGATGGTTTCCTAATGGCGTCGTGACTATGGAAACTCGTTGGTAGTTTTGAACTGTCTTTAGCGGTGATAAAAATTCCTCAAATTCTATAAGAGATAAGTAGGAGTATGTGTTCAAGAGCAACGTGGGACTCCGTGCTCTCGTCGCTCTACAGATCTACCTCCTTCCCTGTATAGCTGCATGCAGGTTCTCTAACAATAAAGATCCCTTCAGCAGTTTTTTTTTTCTTCGGCTCTACAAGTAGCTCTACCGGTAGAGCTAAAGCTATTTTAATGAATCATTTGGCAAAACAGTTCAACATATAGAGCTCCTCAAAATATACTCTCGTAGAATCCAACGCAGGGGCCTACGTAGAGAGTTGAAGCTAGGAGAAGCAGTTTTTCGGCTCCATCCCACATCAATCCCTTGTGAGAGCACGTTTGAAAGAGTTTCAAACGTGTGAAGCTGTTTCAAAAATACTTGTTTGGCATGTAGAAAACAATTTCAAACAGCTCGTGAAAACTGTTGGAGAAGCTATGATAAATAGAACCTTACTTCCGTAGAGTGAGACGACACAAATACAGGCGGGCTCTCCTAACGAGAAGCACTTAGACCAAAATTTGACATGCAACTATGTTTTTTTTTAAAAGAAAATACGACACCGAAGGGAGTATTGATCTGATGAATTAGTGATTGAATGAATCAGGTGCATGCGTACCTTCCATAAAGCCGATTTCCTGCTAGTATTGACCTCGAATTCATCAAACATGTCGGATATGCTGTAGGAGGCTGTGGTGAGGCGCTTGAGCCACACCCGCACCGACGCTTCACTGATGGAGCGCCTCTCCGCGTCGTCGAGCACCGCCTCGATTGATTCCATCATGTCCCTCAGGTCGTCGTCGAATCTCCACTGCAGCATGACCCGATCTGCAGCGGCGGCTGACACCTTTCCGGCCGCCGCCTTGAGGACGGCAGCGGCGAGCATCCCTCCGATTTCCGCCATGGCTAGCTGTTGAACTCCCACGTCTTCCGATTCTACCGAATTCGTCACCTAGCTTCGATGGACAAGGCAAAGGGTGGGTGAGTCAACTGCGTGTGATGCATCGCAGGTTGTTGTCGTGCCCCCTTCTTGTAGTTGTACGTCGTCGTCGTCGTCATAGTATGATATTAGTATTAATTTTTCATTTGTTTATTGCATCATAGTGCTTAGCTGTGCTTAGATGGTGACAATATATTTATTTACAGTGCTTATTATAATTTATCATTGGCTGATAGGTCGAAGGCCAGGTTGTTGTCGTGCCCCCTTCTTGTTGTTGTACGTCGTCGTCGTCATAGTATGATATTAGTATTAATTTTTCATTTGTTTATTGCATCATAGTGCTTAGCTGTGCTTAGATGGTGACAATATATTTATTTACAGTGCTTATTATAACTTATCATTGGCTGATAGGTCGAAGGCCAGGTTGTTGTCGTGCCCCCTTCTTGTTGTTGTACGTCGTCGTCGTCATAGTATGATATTAGTATTAATTTTTCATTTGTTTATTGCATCATAGTGCTTAGCTGTGCTTAGATGGTGACAATATATTTATTTATAGTGCTTATTATAATTTATCATTGGCTGATAGGTCGAAGGCTGCTACAGCCCTGCACGTTATTTGATTGTCAACGAGGACGGGCACACGTAGTTTTTTTATATGTACTCTCAGTTCTAGACAAGTCACGTACTTTTTTATATACTCTCGGTTCTAGATTGTAAATCGTAATGTATCTAGACAGAGCGTAAATCTAGTTACGTAACAAAAACCTATATACCTAAGTTATACCGACTTACAAATTTAGAATGGAGTAAATATATATAGTAGAACATAATATATGTACGTTCAGCCAAGAGAGAAACAACCATCAAACGGTTGTAAAAAACGACGGGAGCGATACATGCATGCATTTTTATATTTTATTATCCTTTCTATAAAATTAAAAGCTAGAGTTTATTTTATAATGACTATGACATCCACATAATACAAATTAATATTTTTTTAGGGCTCAGTGGGAGAATCCCCCATCTATTTTTTTGTATTAATAAATATGAAAGTAGTACAGGTGCACAAGGAGTGCAAAAAGAGCTTTCAAGCTCAAAAAAGAAAAGAACAACACTAATGTAAATTCTCCAAATAATACATGTTGAGGGAACCTTTTGCAAGGTTCGACTTGGCCTTGATACAAATCAAGCCAATCTCTTCTCTAAACCGAGCTTTCCGGTTGTTCATGATGCAGGGCTTGTTATCGAAAATAAGTCCATTTCTCGAAGTCCAGATAGTCCAGCAGGTTATGATGACAATCTCTCTGAAGATGGGGCTCTCAAATGCAGTTCTTGCTTCTATGATCATATCCAGAGGAGGAAGGTTCATGTTCCAGTTAATACCAAGATAGGTCCAGCAGTCCAGGCTGAATGGACGTTCAAAGAAAAGATGCATGCAGGTTTCCTCATTTCCCAAATTACATATAGCACAAGAGTATCCTCCAAAAAATTGTTTTTCCTTCATAGCAGATTTCTATTTCTGGTATTCAAACGGTCCTTGAGCAGGAGCCAAAAAAAAAAGAACTTGTGCTTTCCTAAGCTGCCGGCTGTCCAAAGCCAAAAAAAAAGGGGAGATGCTTCCTGAGTACCATGTAAAAATTTATATGCTTTCTTTGAACTGAATTTTGAGGAGTTCCACATGTACTCCCATCTGTCCCATGCCTCTTGATCTCCAGTACCTTGCTGTAGAATATTTTGAAGAGCTTCTAGTTCTTCAGATGCCTGAACTAAAAGGGGTAGGACAAAGTTTCTATTACCTCACTATCCAGAACGAATCTTAGAGAGCACTTCTGTTTTTCAGCAAAGGAGAATTGTCGATGGTGTCAACAAGAATAAATGAGGGAAGCTGTCACTGATGCAGGGGTCCCTCCAGTTGTCTTTCCAGAACAAAATAGAATTACCAAGATTTGGTTTGCAGACTGCCATAGAGCTGAAGTCAGAGTGGAGTTTGAGTACATCTTTCCACCAGAATGAACCCACAGGACATCTTGCATGTGGTGGAGTGTTGTTGTTGGCATAGAACTTTTCCCAAGTTAGCCTAACCCAGGGTATCTCAGCATGGTTATAGAATTTGTCTAGGTATTTCAGCAGGAGGGCTTTGTTTTGAGTTTTCAAATCAATGATGCCAAGTCCACCTTCATTCTTGGGTCTACATGCTGGTCCCCAAAGCTGCCAGACAGGTTCCCCTCCTATTGATATCTCCTCCACTCCAGAGGCAATGCTTTTTGTACCTGTCAATCTGTTTGATAACTTGTGGAGGAAGCAAAAGACTGCACATGTAAAATGGTTGAACCATCTGCACCCCTAAGTAAGGAATTATGTAACATATGTTTTGAACTAGATCAATGTAAGGTGAACCATCTGGTCTTCTATGTATACATGGAAGTACGTAATGTATCTTTTGAACTGAATCAACGGAATGTCGTTTTCCAAATGCAGAGCTTACCATACATTAAGTGATAAATAAGGCTATTTGTTAGCATTTATTAACTGTTGCATCCATAGTATTCATTCCAGATTGTGGCCAAAGCATCCATAACATGTTTTGGTGCTAGACAATTACACCCATGGCATAGTTTGGTCCATAGTAAGGGACCAAAGCATCCACCATTGTTTTATTGGTGCTATGTGTTCATATCATTATAGGTGTTGTTGCCCATCATCCACAAAAGTGACCAAAAGCCATGTGTTTGGGGCCATCTTATCCAACCAATGATATCCATCTACATTGATTGTCTTCATCTTGTTCATATGGTAGTTCCACTTGACAACAGTAGAAGCCCGGCCCCTTCCAAATGCCCATAATTGGTTTTTTAATATTTCTCCTTTGAAGCCATCATCTCAGAAGTAGGCCCAGAAACGACTAACACAAAACCTCTGCTCAGATTCTGGAAAAACATCTTGAATAGCAGGAATCAAACCCTGCACAAATTTATTACACATCGAGGTTAGCATTAACAACCTCATCATGTTAGTTACAACAATACAATCAGGAATGCCAAGGATAAGTGTTATTCACCTTCTGTTTGTCTGTCATGAGAGTCCTAGCTAGGATATGTGTTGATGATTCCCAAGCAGCATGTAGGGTGTAACCAAATAAAGCTCTTAGTGCACGGACGGCCCCCATATCTTCATATGAACAATAGCATTTTGGAAAACTGTCTTATCACTTCCGAGCTAGCATAAAAAAAAAGGGATGGGTCTCGAAAACGCATTGATGCCATTGATGTCTATGGTGTTCAAAAGCATTGTTTGCTCTTGTTTTCTCCTCTAAGACAACAATATACTTTAACTTTGGAGTCTAGAATACCGTGATACAGCAACAAAATAGGCTACCTCCGCCCTGAGTGTTGCAGTGGGGCAGCATGAACATACAACTCGATTGATCATCAAAGTTGGTGTTTAGTGATTTGTTTGTTAGCGTGTGATAGATGATACACTTAGATATATTAGAGTCATTATCCTTGCAATAAAAAATCGTCCCTCCTGTTTTCTCAACCAAACATCGATGATAAGGCCAGGGATTTTTCTATTCCAAACCAAACACACATAATCTAGTGAGGCGATCTCATGGGCCTTTTGTATTCAGAGTCATGTTACCCCCACGCACAGATTGTACATCGTAACGTGACTCTTACTGAATTCGAAGATCATGCCATGCGCTCCTGAACTCATTAGTCGAGATTTTTCTCAATGAAAACAACCCTGCACATGTATTCTTCCAATAAAGTCATGCCATGTAATCTCAGAATAAAATCTTCTAGTGATTGTAGAAGACGACCGAGGAGAAGCTACCTGGCAAAGAAAGCTTCACACTCCAGTTACTACACTAATGTTGCTAGGAAGAGCTGCATCTACTGACTGGTTGCAGTGCATAACTAGCTTGGCCGGCACCACATCGTGATGCTATTGCTAGCTACGGACCCTTCGACGACAATCTTGTATCACTTGTTGTGCATAGTTCAGGTAATCAGAACTCTGTAGTCTCCCCTCCACCTGATGCTAGCGGGTTGGATATATATATTCATGGTCTTCCTCTTATATTACAAGTAAGACCTTACATTCACAAAAAAAAAAGTAAGACCTTACATTGGGTTCGTTCTCTATCTTTTTTATACTTAATATTAAAGAGTCCAAATTTTATCCTATTTTTTATCCATCTCCCCCTAACTAACCGGTCAGAATTTATTCCGTCCCGCTTTTTTTTTACTTGATCCAAACTTATGGCACATACTCATACGAGTTAGAACAACTTACACCTAGTGACGATGGATACATGGTCCAATTCCAATACGTACCGTAATATTTTACACTTGTATATATTCCCTCCATTCCAGATTTGATTTTTCTAGATACACATAGAAATAGGCAATGGTACAAAGGGCCTTAGATCTGTTTAGATGTAAAGTATTTTTGAAGTATTGGAGAAATAAAATGGTTTTATAAAATATTCCTTTCATTTTAAATTATAAGATGTTTTAGCATTTTTAGATATATTACTTTTGCTATGCACTAGACATAATGTACGGTCGCTGTCTCCCGTGATTGAGGGGATTTTAGATTTCTTTTTTCTTTTTTCTAGGATAATTATTGATTAGTTAATTCAAAATATCTACAAAATCAATGGCTTAGATTTATTTGAAGTATTACCTTCTAGGAAGTAAAGTTTGTACCGTAGCATTGCCCTTTACAAAAAGTACGAAGAGGCTAGCGCATGGACGTACGGATGTGGCGTCTGTCCAGACGCCAACGCTTTCTGCCTGTCCATTTTCAGTAATAATAATTGTACCCTAAGAGCGCCTATGTATGCAGCTTCGTTCTTCGCTTCACCTCGTGTTTCGTGCCTGCTGTCTGCCCATGGATGCAGCTTTGTGCTCCGTGCCTCCTGTCGCGCCCGCTTCGCTTACCGCCAGCACGTAAGGACC